GGGGGCCCGGGCGGGGGGCCGGGGGCCGGCGCCGGGGCAGGCTCCTCTCTTGTCCCACTCCCTGGGAGTCCTCGGGTCCCTTCCCCACTCCCTAGGGACCCCCTGTCTCGGCCCAGTCACTGCTCCCCCCGCCCAGCCACCAGCCGCTTCCCGACCTCTTTTTGACCCCAAGATCCGTCCTTCACTTCCAAACACCTTCCCATCTCCTTAGTCCTGGGTTGTCTAGGGTCTTGTGACCCCGTCTCCTAATCTCATTCTCCTAACCCCAGGTCATTGCCTCAGGTTCCCTCGCTCCCTCCTTTGGCCCAGGGAGCAACTGAGTGCACCAGTGCCCCCACCTTGGGCCTCCCTCCGTGTCCCCGATAGACCTCTCAAAGCCCTGCAGGCCAACTCTGCGGGAGGAGCAGAAGGGATCCCGTTGTGCAGGAGCCTGTGTGAAGGGGCTAGGGACTGGCACCTGAGGGCGCAGGGCGGGCGGGGGTGGACCTCTGACACCCCTGATCCGTGCAGGCAGTGTCTGGCTTGCCCCACGGGCCGCCTCATCCTGGCCCGGCCTCTCCTGACCCTCTGCCTCTGTCCCTTCTGGCTGCCGCTGCCTGGCTCATCCCTCCTTCCACTCCTCGTCTTTCCCGGCTCAGTGCACGCACTCTCGCTCTTGCTGCTTCTGTCCCTGTGTCTGCCTCTCATGCCCACTTCTCTGTTCTCTGGTTGTCTGCCGCCACCTGTCTGTGTCCTGTCTCTCTCCAGCTTCATGTTTGGCTCTGTGTCCCTGGGCCCAGCCCCTTGGGCCTCTGGTTCAGTATCTGCGGGGTGAGGGGTACTGCTCACCCCAGGTCTTCCTCTTGCAGCACATGCCCCTTGGGAGAGACCGAGGCTTGTGTGACTCCAGGCCCTCTCCTGCATGGTTCCTTCTTCGCTGTCTCCCACTGTCCCCATCATACTCCCTGCTACTTCCCTCCTGTTTCTTCTCAACTCATTCGTCCTCTCTTCCCATCCAAAAGGCCCTACCCTGTCCTCTTGACTCTCTCTCCTCTGAGTGACACCATCTTTCCCTGCCCTCTCCCTGGAACTGGCGGAGTGTGGAGAAGAGACTCACATAGACCCTTCCCCAAGCTTCCTTCTGCCTGAGTCACCATGATTCTGGGAGTATCTCTTACTCCTCACTCCCAGCCCAGGACTCATCCCTGCCTGGCTCTTCTTGACCTCTGGATCTTTCTCCTTTCCTCAAGGTCACTCACTTGACAGTGCAGTATTGGAGAGAGAGCACTGGACTGGGAGTCCTTCTGATTGCTCTTCATCAGCTAACCTTCAGTTTCTGCAACCCTGGTCACCTGAGTGCCCTCCAAAACTGACCCCCTCTTACTCTAACCACCCCTCCCTTAGATCTATCCCAGCCCAAGCCCATCAGTTTTAGCTTTGAACTCTTGATGGGGATGGCCTGTGGTTAGCAGGGGCTTCCATCCTAGATGTAAGGAGCCTAAGGCCTCTTGGGCCTGGTTCTTCAACCCACTGAGGAACTAAGAGTCATGTCACTGACCCCATTTGAGGTCTTGGGTTCTTCCTCCCCCTACGGCATGGCCTTCCCCATGTTGCCCTTTCTCACTAAGGAGACTGGGTCTGGGCCTCACAGCGGGGGATGCTCAGGCTCAGATGCCTCCTCGCCCTCCAGACAGTCCCTCAGCCCCAGTGAACGTCACTGTCAGGCACCTCAAGGCCAACTCTGCAGTGGTGAGCTGGGATGTCCTGGAGGATGAGGTTGTCATTGGATTTGCCATATCTCAGCAGGTAACCCTGGAGGGTCCTTGGAAGGGAAGGACGGAACAAGATATTAGTGGCGGGAGGGGGTGGAGGTGTGGCAATAGGGGTGGTGAAGAGACAGAATGGAGAAAGAAACTTGGGGAAGAGAGATGGGCAGCAGTTTGTACCTATATCTTACAATTGGGGTCCCAGAAGAGAATGAGTCAGTGAGGGAGGGTTCAGGAATTTTCAGCTGTAACACAGGAATTAAGAGCATGGTTTTGCTCTCAGACACATCTGCATTTAGGATCTGGTTCCAAAGCCCATAAGATGTGTGACCTTGGCCAACTTCTCTAACTTTCTGAACCTGTTTCCTTCCCTGTAAGATGGAGATACTGATAGGAGAGGTGGTGGGAGGATTGAGTACGATTATGCCCCATGGGGAGGTGGGCAGAAGCGGGCTGGTGAATGGGCACTGGCAGCAGTGGCTGTTGCTTGCCTTTGCAGAAGAAGGACGTACGGATGCTGCGCTTCATCCAGGAAGTGAACACCACCACCCGCTCATGCGCCCTCTGGGACCTGGAAGAGGACACGGAGTACATTGTGCATGTGCAGGCCATCTCCATTCAGGGCCAGAGCCCGGCCAGTGAGCCTGTGCTCTTCAAGACCCCACGCGAGGCTGAGAAGATGGCCTCTAAGAACAAAGGCAGGCCTGGGTCACTGGTAGGAGGAACAGGGGTGGGGTCGGGGGGGATAGGACCAGAGCCGTGGGTGGCTTGAAGGAGCTTTATCGCCTCTCCCCACAGCCAAGTAACGTAGTACCTGTGAGAGGTTCACACTAGTCCCCCGCGGCAATGGGTATATAAACTCCCACCTTTGGACTGAGTCCTGTCGCTACCACCCCAGTAGTCATCAGTATGTTCTAGAATCCCTTTCTGTTAGATGTGTGGGCACCTATAGATATAAGCACTGTTGTCTTGGATGTGGCCCTAGAGGAGTGGCTGAGGCAAGAAAGGAGCCCTGGACCCAGTGTCTCTCTCCCCATAGATGAGGTGACCATGAAAGAGATGGGAAGGAACCAACAGCTGCGGACGGGCGAGGTGCTGATCATTGTTGTGGTCCTATTCATGTGGGCAGGTGAGTCTGGTCTCCAAGCCCTTCTTCACTTAGCCTCTGGGAAAGGGAGGACCCTGGACAGACCCCTTCTCTCACTGAAACAACGGTAAGGGGCTTGGAGATATCTAAAAGTTGAAGTCTTCAAGTCCTGCCTGGGACAACTCTGGGGACCAGATCTGAACCCTTCTCTACCCTACTCTGCATCAAAAAAATAGCATCTTGATAGCTGCCTCACAGGATTATGAGTACTTGCCATTCCCTCTCTCAGAAGAGGTTCAGTCTCTTGGGCTGCAGCCTCTCCTTCCTCTTCTTGGTTCTCTGCTACCAGGGCGTCAGGCCTGGGACACTCAGGGGAAGTCACTGCCTGGCCCTGAGGCACTCTATTAACCTACTCATCCTTCTAGACCCAGCTCTGGGATAGCCACCATGAAACTCCCCCAATCCATTCATTAGACCAGCCCTCCTGCCTCTGTGCTCCCACTGCACACTGTTTACCCCCACCCCCGCCCCTGCAGCTCTTATATAAGTTAGTTGGGCTCATGTCTCTTTCCTTTCCCCCTGGTCTGTGACCTTCCTGAGAATAAAGACCAAGTTTAATTCACCTTTGTACTCAACCAGCATTTACCGAACAACCAATACTGCTACAATTATGACTATGAAGAGCAAGGAACTCAGTCTAGAAGAAGCCAGGCTTGAACTTAACTATAATTCTATGTGATAAGTACCATGTACGAAAGCAGAGGAGAGAGAATTAATTCTGGGGCTGGGGTAGAAATCAGGAAAAATGCAGAGAGGAGATAACACGGGAACTGAGCTTTGAAGGATGACGAGGAATTCACCAGGCAGTCAAAAGAGGAAGGGTTTTCAGGACATGGTGTGTTCAAGAAACAAATGAAGTTCAGTCTGGCTCAGTGCAGCTGCAACCCAAGAGAGAAAGTAGAAAGCAGGGCAGGCGGAGGTGGGGGGAGGGCTGTGTAAAGGATGGTGAGGCCATAGACTAGAGTCTTGCGGGATTTGAATACCATGCTAAAGCTTTATTAGCATGGTGGTTGAGATGGCAGGCTCTATTGTAGAAGCAGTTGGAAAAAAAAAATTCTTAGGTACATGAAAAAAAAGCAGGAAAAGCAAAGGGTGTACAAAAAAGGAGGTTTGCTTATGATGCAATATTAGACTTGGCCCAGACAGTATTTACGTAATCATAATAATTTAAACACAGTGAATTAACCCCAAATTGGTATGTTATTTTGTTAGGATGATGGAGAGAGAAGGAGGGGAAGTTTTTAGACTTCATCACGGTGAAAAGTCATCAGATATCCAAAACAGATCAAGAAATAACTATAAATAAGAAATAAATATAAATAGCTATAGAGATAAAATGGAGAAAACACTTAGAATTGGAGCTGGCTGTCTTAAAACTGTCCAGCTTTCAAAAAATATTACATTTGTGTATTATTAGTTTGACGAAAACTAAACATTTAACAGATTGCGGGACCTTAAGTTCACATCTGAGCTCCATCGTGTGACCTTGAGTTTAGTTAAACTCCCTCTGCATCAGTGTCCTCACTTGTAACCTGAGAAAGATAATAATAGGTATCCTCATAGAGTTGTGAAGATTAAGTGAGATAGAATATGTCAGGGCACAGCACAGGGCCTAGCACGTACTCAACAAATGCTTTTATTGTTTCTATTTTCCCTTCAAGGAAAATGGGAGCCGTCAGAGGTTTAAAGGAAGGGAGGGGAGGAGACATGATCAGACTCATGTTATAGAAGATAAGCCCAGCAGCAGAGAAAGGGATGGCTGGTGAGGGGACAGGTGGAAACAGGAACCAGAGGCCAGAGGGAGGCTGCTGCAGTAGTGCAGGTGAGAGACCATCAGCAAGTGCTGGTGGGACTGAAGCAGGCGAGACAAGAACTCAGCTCATGGCCTCTGACTGCTCCTGCTTGCCCCCCAGGTGTCATCGCCCTTTTCTGTCGCCAGTATGATATTATTAAGGACAACGAACCCAATAACAACAAGGAAAAAACCAAGAGTGCATCAGAAACCAGCACACCAGAGCACCAGGGCGGGGGTCTTCTCCGCAGCAAGGTGAGAGCAAGACCTGGGTGTGGGTGGGCAGCCCTATGTCTTGTGCACTGGTCGTCCCTGGACTGCAGAAGGGGTCAGATCAGGGCCTGGCATGGCTGCAGTTGGGCAGAGCTAGACTTGGCCACTGGCTGTGTGACACAGAAGACACTGCAAGTAGATTTTGGATCCCCTCCTTTTGCAAGGTGCCAGGGGCCAGCCAGTGGTGGTTAACAACAACAAAAAAAGACGAGTGGGGAGGGCAGAATTCTTGGTTGGTGTGGGATAGCAAGAGTGAGGACTTCTAGCCGGGCTCGGTGGCTCAGCCTGTAATCCCACGCCTTTGGGAGGCTGAGGTGAGTGGATTGCCTGAGCCCGCGGGTTCGAGACCCGCCTGGGCAGTGAGACCTCATCTCTACA